ACCACATCTTATCAGGGTATAACAGCCAATCAACTATCAAGTTTTCAAGTAATATATAACAGCATATGAGATTCCTGTCCCTCCCAAGCAGGCCCTCCAAAACAATATCCAAAATCATAAATCCAAAATCATAATTCCAGGTTATCATCAAAAATTCATGATGTCCAGGAGTATCGCTTAATTTCTTGAGCCTCTACAGTGAACAAAAGTTGGAGTAAATAAGCTTGTATGAAGCACTGTGGCCTAACAGTTGTGGTCCCAGCCCTGGGCAAGAACTATCTAGTTCCGTGGGCTGTTAGGAAGACAGGTTGCAGCAGCGGAGGTGAGTGTTGGGCAGCCAGGGAAGCTTTCATTCTGTATTTAAGCTGTTCCCCATCACCTCACAATCACCCACCTAAGTTCTGCCTCCTGTTCAGACTCAGGGCAGTAGCACCAAGCACAGAGCGCAAACCTACTGTTAAACTGCGTATGCAAAGGGATGTAGGGTTTGCAATACTCTATGAGAACTGAAGCGCTGATGAATCCTTCAGGTGGAACTAATGTGATGCTAGGCACGTGAGGAGGGCCAGGCTGGAGATAGCGACTGTCATAGCGGAGAGGTTTGCACTGCCACAATTTAAATGTAATCACCCCACAATATACTCCCCCAACCCCTATCAGTGGAAAATTGTCTTCATTAAACCGGTTCCTGTGCCAAAAAGGTTGGACCACGGCCTAAAGCATCTTCCACCATGGGATTCAGCAGCACTCAAAATACACCTTACTCCTAGAACTATGTTTAAGAGGGCAGCACTAATGCAAGAAAAGCAAAGTCCTTTCCAGGATGCTCCAGTGAAGTTGTGTGACTTTGGATTTGCCAAAATTGACCAAGGTGATTTGATGACACCCCAGTTCACCCCTTATTATGTAGCACCTCAGGTAAGTATATGCTGTCTCTCTCCTAAAATGTGTCACCAAGCTGCCTATAGGAACTCATGTTCCTTCTATTTTACAGCATAAGTAGGCATGTATTACAGAATGGGAGGTGAGAGAACTTGCTTCAGAAACCTTAAGATTACTTTATTTGATGTATACATTTTATTCTTTTAAAATCACCTTTATTGATATATGATTTAGAGGTATGATTTACATACAATAAGATAATAAAATATATCTACTTCAAGTATAGTTTGATGATTGGAGTGGTTTTTTTGAGACAGAGTCTCACTCTATCACCCTACCTAGAGTGCAGTGTCATTATTATAGCTCCCTGCAACCTCAAACTCTTGGGCTCAAGTGATCCTCCTGCCTCAGCCTCCTGAGTAGCTGGGTCTACAGGTGTACACCACCACACTCAGCTAATTTTCTGGTGTTTTGTAAAGAGGAGGTCTCACTCTTCCTAAGATTGGTCTTGAACTCTTGACCTCAAGCAGTCTTCCTGCCTTGGCCTCCCAAAGTGCTAGGATTACAGGTGTAAGCCACTTCATCGGCCAGTTTGATGAGTTCTGATGAATGCATATCCAGTATGACTACCACAGTGAAGATGCAGAACATTTGCATCACTTCACAAATTCCCTTATGCCCCTTTGCAGTTAATCCCTTTTCACGTCTAACCCCTGGGCCCGCGCAACACTGGACTCTGCTCTCTGGTTTCCATTGTTTATTTGTTGTTTTTTTTTTTGGCAGACAGAGTCTCGCGTGTTGCCCGCAGGCGTAGGAGTGAGTGCCGCGTGGTTGCAGCCTAGTCACAGCAACCTCGAAACTCCTGGGCTTAAGCAATCCTGCTGCCTCAGCCTCCCAAGTAGGCTGGGAAGCGTACAGGCATGCCGGCCCGACATGCCCGGCTAATTTTTTTTTCTGTATATATATATTAGTTGCGCCAATAATTTGCTTTCTATTTAGTGGGAGTAGGAGATGGGTCGTCGACTGCTGCTCAGAGGCTTGGGTTGTCGAGGACTGCCTGACCGTCGGAGCAATCCACTGCTCCTCGGCTCCCAGCAGCTGCCGAGGATTATAGCGTGAGCCACTGTGCCCCGTCCTCAAAAATATGCTTTTTATAGCCTGTGCTTTTGGTTGTTCTATGGAAAATCTCAATTTGACTCAAGATCACAAGCATTCTTTCTCCTGTGTTCTTCTTCTAGAAGTGTTGTATATAGTTTGGTTTTATATTTGCGGTTGTGGTATCGTTATTTTGTATTTTGTATTTATATTGGCGGTCTGTAATTTATTTGCGTATACAATGAGTAAGGGATGAGTCCAAGTTCTTTTTTAGCATTTGGATACTCTAGTTGTTCCAGCACCATTTGTTGAAAGGCTATCTTCTTCTCTGCTGCATACTTCTATAGCCTTTTGTCACAAAATTAGGTTGAACAGTATGTGGGCATTATTCTGAACTGCGTGTTCTGTTCAGCTAATCTGTTGTCGTGTCTTGTACCCGGGCTATTTAGCTACAATGTCTTGATTACTGTACCTTTAGTGGAGTAATTGTTGAGAGATGCAGGGGTTCGCTGGGTTAGCCCTCCAACTTTTGTTGCTCTTTTCATGTGAGTGGGGTTTGCGCTATGCTGAGTTCTTTGGCAGTGTCGTATTAAGTGAACTTTAGAACGAGTTTGTTGAGTTTCTACCGAAGAAAAGCCCACTGGTTTGGAGTTGGGATTGTTTAGAGCTGTCATTCAATTTTTGTGAGGGGCTGACATTTTAAACAATATTGAGGGCCTTGCTGGACCGATGAATAAGCCTACATCCATTCGCATGGTTAATTTTGTCTCATAATGTGTTACTCAGCGAGTATTTGTGTAATTTTCAGTGTATAGGGTCTGTCACATCTTTTTGTAGATGGGGATTTATTTTTACTTGTTTTTTTGTTTTTTTTTGAGGCAGAGTTTCACTCTGTTGCCCTAGTAGAGTGCCATGGTGGTCAGCTCTAGCGTCACAGCAAGCTCAAACTCCTGCGGCGCAGAGCAATCTCTTCTGCCTGCTCGCATGCGTGGAGTGATCTTGGACTACAGGCCACGCTGCAACCATGCGCGCGCCTAATATTGGTAATATATAAGTATAGTATATATTTTTTTTTTTAGCGTCCAGAGTAATTCTTTCGTTATTTTTAGTAGAAAGAGGTCTCACTCTGGTCAGGCTGGGTTGGTTGAGACTGACTGACCTTTGAACAACTCCACTTGCCTGGGGCCTCCCGAGATGCTAGGGATTGACATAGGTTTCTGTTTTATTGTATTATTAACTTTGTGGAGACAGAGCCTTTTTGCCCAGGGCTGAGGAGAGCGGTGGCATAAAACCTAGCTCACAGAACTTCAAATCTTCTGGGCGCTCAACGCGATCCTTCGTTGCCCCAGGCCTTCCCAAGAAGCTGGGACTACAGGCTTGCCGGCTTACGATGCCCAGCTAACTTTTCGTATTATATATTAGTTCTGCCAATTAATTTGTTTCTATTCTTAGTGGGAGACTGGGTCCTCGCTCTTGCTCAGCCTGTGGTTTCAAACTCCTGACCCTCGAGGCAATACACCCGCCTCGGCCCCCAGAGTGCTAGGATTACAGGCGCTGAGCCACCGCGCCCGGCCGTCATTTATTCTTAATGTTTAATATTTTTTATGCTGTTGTAAATGGTATAGTTTATTTTTCAGGTGTAATTAATTTACTTTACTGTTCCTATATGACAGCCACAGCTGGAGCCTGGCTCCTCAGAGACTCTGGTGTAGGTTTTTATAAGATGATCAGTGAATTTCTATTAGGTGAGATAGCTATAGGTCTTGGAGATGACATCAAAGGGCATCTTGGCAATGTTGCCCAAGATGGCAGTGCAGCCCCTGTAGCAGTTGTCAACATCTTCTGTACCAAGGCAGTATGACTGAGTCTAGGTGTAGGGATGAAGTGCCCTGGCACAGAGTCTTAGCTAACATCCTGTCCTCTTCCAAGGAATAGTGTGGGGTTACCAGTATTGTCTCCCCCACCTCCCCACAAGAGTCCCTCATAGTGACAGTAGAAAGCTCTGCCAGGATGATGGCCCCAGAGATGGTGACTGCCTCCTTAGAAAGTGCTTAACACCTAGACTGACATGACTGTTATAGTGTCTGTTGGTAACAGATGCCTTGAACCTGATCTGCTGGCCAGTTTCAGTCTTCTTTTGCAAAGGCATAAAGAATTTCTCCTGGAAAAAGTCAATGATCCCACACTCCTTGATTGGCACGAAAAAGAGGTAAATCTCCTACAGGTACTAGATCTTCATGTCCTTGACTTCGGCATTTCTGTAGCTGATTGATAAATCACTGGTTTTAAGAAGAAAAAAGGTTTCTGGAAATGGTGTTTATGTGGAGTTTTTCTTTTTCTCCAGTTGTTAATTGTAGGTTATCTACCTTCTTCAGCTTTCTAGTAGTCTATTTCAAGTTGCAGGTCATTGGTGGTGTGATTTTCAGTAAATTGTCCCCTTTGGTGCAATTCTCAACAGGTACTAGAGGCGCAGAGAAGACACCAGAAGGAGAAGTCTGGCATCATACCTACCTCACCAACACCATACACTTATAACAAGGTAGGGGAAAAGATACTTATCTTAACTTGGTGGAGGTAGCCCCTCTCCTCCTGTGAGGTGTTTGTGGCCCTCTGGGAATATGACTGATTTCATTCTTACCCCTTAACATTCTTGTCCCAAAGACTGGTAGCAGCCAGACTTTCAGAAAAGTATTTGGAATTCAAGTTTTTGTTTGAAATCGGAAATCAGGTTCCCTGTTAGCTTTTGCAGTAGGAAGTATGGGCTATGATCACCTATTAGGTTATTTATTTGGCTAGCTGTACAGTCCACTGACCACACTGAAAAGGCATGATTGGCTTACTATTTTTAGGTACCATTCTTTCTTACCCCATAAAATACCCAACTTAGAAAAGTATCCAATACATATAATAAGAGCTCTTGAATGTTACTTGGTACTACCATGGTTCTTAGCCTGTAGCCCACATATCAAGGTGTAGAGCCTCTTGAAACAGGTTCTAGAGTCACCCAGTAGTTCAGAAAAAATGTACAGCTACTTGGGTTCTTGAGGCTGGATGTAGATGATAGAGAAGGAGCTGAGGGCCATAAAATGGGGCAGTAGGTTATGGCTTTACCACTCTTCAGCTGCATGACAATCGTGAGGTCACTTAGTTTCATTCCTGATAGAGGACCTAAGAGATGGCACAATCTGAAAAGTAAAGGATTTAAGTGCCCTTTTCACCTCTCTAATTTTATAAGGTGATTATGTTCTAGAGCATGGGTCATGTCATCCACAGTGGCCACTAGTATGATGCTAAAACATGGGCAAGTGCCTGAGTGACCTCATTTTCCAGGCTTCTCTTCGAGCAGCACACAGCTGTGGTGTAAGGGGGAGTATGGGGCCCCAGTGGCAGGCTTATAGGGCTGCCCTTCTCAGGCAGACACCTCTTTTGTCCCACAGTTCAAGAGAGGCTTGAATTGAAGTTTCTTTGGGTCCAGTTTCCATGGCAGGTGGAGCTGCATTTAACTAAAATAGGAGTCATTTTTTAATTAGTAATCATGTGGTGATTGTAGGCCATGGAATTACCTTAATACCTGCAGACATGCTAGTTGGTGGCAGTTTTCTTTCTTTTATAATATCTTTCCCCAGAGTGGTGTATGTTCTTGCAGATGGGCTTAGTGAGTCTTCCTTCTTTCTTGGCCAAAGGAAGGCTTTTTTAGACCTCATGTTCTTTTCTATAGGGCAGGTGTCCTCAAACTATGGCCCTTGGGCCACATGCTGCCCACAGAAGACATTTATCCAGCCCGCTGGGTGTTTTTGCCACTGCTGCCTGTCCTGCTTAGCAGCCGACTCGTCCCAGGCCCACAGTGCGCACTCTCCAACGGTCTGAGGGACGGTGAACTGGCTGGCCCCCTTTTTAAAATGTTTGAGGACCCCTGCTCTAGGGCCTCTCCCTGTTCTATGTCAAACTGCTTTAGGCCTTTACAAAATGATTTATATTATATTATGAGATCAGCCTACATGTGTCTTAGCTGCTTTGTTTCTGCACATGTTTCACAATCTATCAGCTAGTTTATATCTACTATTTCTCTTACTGGAGGCAAAGTAACCTATACCTGTACCCAAGGATCAGATAGGTGCTTAGGCCTAAGCAGTGAGAATAAAATGACTATTTTATCCCAGACAGGCCTTATATAATGGTGTGCATATATATAGTGTTGGTGGCATATAAAAATTATGGAGAGAAAGGTTAAATTCTCCTAAGACTTCCTTAAACTTTCCCAGTCTCTATTAAGTGATTCTTAGAGATATTATTAGCCTGTATATGCCAGGGACTATTCCTGGTCCTGTTATGGGGACTTTATTTTGGGGTCCTGCATCTGCTATGTATAACCACTTTCTTTTTTGCTTTCAGAGCTGTGACTTGTGGTCCCTAGGAGTGATTATTTATGTGATGCTGTGCGGATACCCTCCTTTTTACTCCAAACACCACAGCCGGACTATCCCAAAGGATATGCGAAGAAAGATCATGACAGGCAGTTTTGAGTTCCCAGAGGAAGAGTGGAGTCAGATTTCGGAGATGGCCAAAGATGTTGTGAGGAAGTGAGTCTGAGGACTGCTGGGTGGGGAGGCCAAGGTGGTGGAGCTCAAGGAAATGCTAGGTAGAGAAAAGTCATTGGTTTCACAGGTAGGCTTCTTCATATTTTCATATCACAGAAATCTTGTCTCTGGAGCCTGAGGTGAGAGTTCTCAGTTTCCACACCTCAGTGAAAATGAGCTTTTCCCCCTCCTGTTTTATCCCTAGACTTTGTCTCCAGGGTTGTGAACCTAGGTCCCTCTGTAGCCAGTCTCTGTGGGCATTAGATCATGACCCCAAATTGTAAACTTCTGGTGGGCGCTCCTTAAGCCAGCATGCCATTTGGTGCAGACATGGTGCTAAGAACTGAACTGGGTTGCTGAGATCATGATCATGATGACATGTTTGGCTTCTCATTCCTTGGATTCTATGAGTATGTAGTTGGGTCAGGCTTGGACCCCACCCTCTAGCCTTCCTACTGCCAGTTGGTTGCTTTGACAAAGATTAAGGTGGGAATATTTAGTAAGATTAGGGGTAGTGAGCAGGAGAGGGAGGGTTGACATTCAGAGTCCTTTGGTAGCTGGAGGACTAGATAACAAGTCAGACTTAAATTTGAGCTTTATTTGCTTCTTTTGCCTGTGGCCTTGGACACCATTCCTGTGTTCTCACTGCTTGGTTTTCCCTGAGCAGTTTCTACTTTGTTGTCTCAGTTTCTTCATCTGTACTGGGATGAAGATAAATGTTAAAGGGGCAGAACCTGGGGACTATCCCAGACAGCACAGCCATTTCTCCATGGAGGTTACTCTCTTTTAAAAGTCAGCTCGCCGTGCGAGGTGGCTCACGCCTGTAATCCTAGCACTCTGGGAGGCCGAGGCGGGCGGATTGCTTGAGGTCAGGAGTTCGAAACCAGCCTGAGCAAGAGCGAGACCCCGTCTCTATTATAAATAGAAAGAAATTAATTGGCCAACAAATATATACAGAAAAAATTAGCTGGGCGTGGTGGCGCATGCCTGTAGTCCCAGCTACTTGGGAGGCTGAGGCAGTAAGATCGCTCGAGCCCAGGAGTTTGAGGTTTCTGTGAGCTAGGCTGACACCACGGCACTCACTCTAGCCTGGGCAACAAAGCGAGACTCTGTCTCAAAAAAAAAAAAAAAAAAAATCAGCTTGTCCTATTGATTAGGTGGCCTGTGTGCTATAAAGAGGGACTGTTTTCTAAAATATACAAGTAAAAGTTTTTAGGAGTAGGGGCAATGTTTAAATCACCACCTGTCTTCACATGCTATTTCATGCTCTAGTCCTAGCTACTCAACCCAAACCTTACTATCCTAAGATTTGGTTCTTTGTCAGTTTTCTGTAGAACATATTTCTTTCCCTGGAGCAACATTGATTATTATCTTTCAGCTTTGGGATTCTTTTCTAAGTAATCCTTTCTTTAGAAATCTGAAGCTGTTTGTTCAGAATGATCCAGAAGAAGGTTGCAGACAACCTAAAGAAGCAATTAGCCATGTTGTCCTGACCCTAACATTTGTAATGAGAGGAGATGGAGTTGGAAGGGGCAGAGTAGGGGGGACATGCTGACATCAGTTAGGAACTGCATCAGTAGGAATGGATGAGATGTGAAGAAGTGTGATCCAAAAGCAGATAATGCAGAAACAATACATTAGGCTTAGAAGGAAATGTTATCCCCTTTTCAGAGACTCTAGGTTTTTAGCTTTTAAATATCTCTGGAATAATGAGTTCATGTCCTACCATATGGTGACATCTGAAAGGTTTATCATTGGTAGTAACCTGCTTTTCCACAACCTTTACAGTCACTATCAGATAAAATAGCACTTTGCGTTCCTTCTAGAAGTTAGAGTCCATTGTCCCAGAAACCTCAATATGGAGAATCATGATCTCAGGAACTATGTGCCATATGTAGGATTTCCTTATTGAGCCCTAGAATTCAGTCTGAATCTTCACTAGATTAAACCTCTTCCTATCATTTTTATCTTATTTTGTCTAGCATAGAAAGGACTACCTCAAACCACAATACTCTGGCAGGGCACGGTGGCTCACGCCTGTAATCCTAGCACTCTGGGAGGCCAAGGTAGGCGGATTGCTTGAGGTCAGGAGTTCAAAACCAGCCTGAGCAAGAGCAAGACCCCGTCTCTACTATAAATAGAAAGAAATTAATTGGCCAACTAATATATATAGAAAAAATTAGCCGGGCATGGTGGCGCATGCCTGTAGTCCCAGCTACTCAGGAGGCTGAGGCAGTAGGATTGCTTGAGCCCAGGAGTTTGAGGCTAGGCTGACGCCATGGCACTCACTCTAGCCTGGGTAACAAAGTGAGACTCTGTCTCAAAAAAAAACCAAAAAACAAAAAAACCCACAATACTCCCACAAGTGGTTGGGACTAAAATTCCACCCATGCCCTGCAGGTGGAAAGCCCAGACTTGCAGAATTTGGTAAAAGTCACAAGAAGCCAAAGCTCTTTAGAGCCAAATCCAGAAACTTCCTATGGCTTCTTGGGAGCAACTGTTCATGACAACCCTGGTGGAATTTTCTCCACAGGCTCCTGAAAGTCAAACCAGAGGAAAGACTCACCATTGAGGGAGTGTTGGACCACCCCTGGCTCAACTCGACTGAGGCCCTGGATAACGTGCTACCCTCTGCTCAACTGATGATGGATAAGGTTCTGAATGATGCTTATTTTGTTGGCTGAAAAGGCTGTGTTGAGAAGGAATGCTGGGGTCTGCCTCAATGAAGGGTTAAAGGGAAAACAATGCAGAGCATGCAGAATCATCTCTGGTTTCCTGAGAATCAGGATCCAAAATAAAAAATTTCTTCCATAAAACACGAGATCAAGGCCTGGTAAATATACACCAAGGGGACACTCAAAGGAATATCCTCCATATTTGTGCTATAGGTTGGGGGCACAGAATGGTATGAGATACACTCTCTTCCCCCAAGTTTAAACAAGACCATTTGGGAAGGCAAAGCCAATAAACATAAAACCAAGAGGGAACATTTCAGACATCAGAGCTTTGCATGTTAAATTTTCTGTAAATGCCGTGGGGATTCAGAAAAAGAGCACATCTTTAAAGAGGTAAAAGATTTGCCTAAAGAGAAGGCAAAACCTCTCAAATTTATTAACTATCTACTGTGTGGCAGCATCTGAGCTCTTTCACATGTTCAGGCATGAGCTGTCCTTGAAGAATTTGAGTAGACAATATAAGTGCTCAAGTGCTATCAATAATGTAAGCAAAGGACTTAAAAGAAAAAACGATATGGCTTCACTAATGGCAAGTTGGTGAAATGAGTCTGACGGCAGGGTTTGCATCTAGAGGGGTTTAAGTTTTAGTGGGATATAACTGAGAGGCCCTGGTAGACTTTTGAGAAGAGATTTGCTAGTGGGAAGGTATTTAGTGATGGTCAACCAGACTTGCAGACTTGACATCCTAAGATTTCTGCAGTAATCTAGAAGCTTGAAGGTAGCTCTGGAAGCAGAGAAATAGAGATTAATGAATAAGCTTAATATTTTTTAAGACAAATGTCTACAGTTTTTGATGACTGGCTAGGTTTAAGGGTTCAGTGGGTGTCTTATCTGGTGATATCGACAAATCAGGAAGGAGGCTGGTTTAGATGAAGTCTCTTAGGTTCTAGATATTATTTGAGGTGGCAGAGGGACATTCAAATGAATGAGACATGGAACATGGGACTAGAGTGTGGCTGAAAGGTCCAGGCAGTGATACAGACTTGAGTGTTCCCAGCTTTGAAGAGATGGGGTTGAAGTATGAGAAAGAATAAGCAAATGGGGAAAAAAGAATGCCAAGTTTAGCAGGAGCATGGGAGAGAAAGGAAAGCTGGAGAAAAGGAGTTCTCTGTTATCCCTTTGATTTGTGGGTTGTTGTTTTCCTGTTTTAAATATGCCCCATAGTCCAGAAATGGTTTGGTCAGTCCACAATCCAAAGGGATTATTTAGATCCTAGTTGTCAGCAAATAGGGTTTACAGTGTGGCATTCCTCAAGATCTTTGAAATAAGGAGATAAGATTACCTTCTGGAATTACTTAAATATCAGTCCAAAATGAAGCCAAATCTGGACATAGAGAATCTTCTTCATGAGAAGAAGTGGCTGACAGGCCTGTAAGATAAAATTGCACTGAATTGTGTGTTCCCATTTCTAAAGAAATCATGATCAGGATGTGGAGTAGTCAATTTTGGAATCACAGAAAAGTGGCCTCATAGACAGATGCTGAATAGCGTCCATCCAGACCCAGGAGCCTGAGCTCATAACCTTGCACTGTTTCTGTCTTTTTGGTTGGGTCATTATTGATGAGATAGATGCAAAGATACAAGAGGGTACAACCAGGGCCTGCTATGAGTATACAGTGCCCTTAAATGAGTTTGAATTCTTCCTGATCTAACTGCCTGCTCACCAAGGAACTACTTTTGAAAGATGTCAAATTTTGTTATGAAAATCCAGAAAACAGAGGTATTACAATAAAAAGCAGAAGTTCCCCCTCAATCCCCTGCCAGCCTCACACCTCAGAGTTGAGGTAATCTATGGCTTGATTTATCCTTTCTGATCTTTTTCTGGGGAGACCTCACTCACATAGACACATATACGCAGGTACACACATACAGTTAGTTCATTTTTTAAATACAAAAATGAGATCATACCATTCTTATGAAGCGTTTTGTTGATTTGGTTTGCTGATAGTGAGAGCACACACTGTTCACAAAGACACAGACTTTGAGAGTTCCAGACTCCATGACAGCTATTTTTCATGTAAATTGACTGGCTTATAAATCAGGTTGTGGCCTCAATTCATGAGGGTCTGCCCCTCAGGCTAGGCTGTCCTCACCATGTGAAATGGTCAGGATTCTGAGCCATCAGTGCTGAGGGGACTGTCTATACTTTGGAGGCAGTGAGTAAATGCCAGTCTGTGGGGCTTCTTGAGTGGCAGCCTGTCAGCCTTATCCCCGGATGCACATATTTGCCTCTCCTCACACTTGGCCTTGTCAGTGGCTGTGAGCATAAGCCTTGTTAGTATTTCTCACTTGCATTTCTATTCCTGATCCAGGAAGAAAGGCCAGCTGTTATGCGGCCTTTGGTTGGCTTGGTGTTCCCTGGGCCCTCCTGATCCATGGGGAAGAATCTCTGTCTTATCAAAATTTATATACACTTCAGCATAAGATTGAAATTGGCTTCTTAGTACTGTACTTTGAGCTTCTCCTTCCCACTTTCTTAGATGGCTTTTTAGGTGCCCAGCAATGAATGTCAAAAACTGACAGCAGTGTTTGCATTCAGGCGGTGGTTGCAGGAATCCAGCAGGCTCATGCAGAGCAACTGGCCAACATGAGAATCCAAGATCTAAAAGTCAGCCTTAAACCCCTGCACTCAGTGAACAACCCCATTCTGCGGAAGAGGAAGTTACTTGGGTAACTGAGCTTATTTCTTCTATTCTTCATGGCTGGAATGGCTGAGTACTGGGTTCTGAAAGTTCAGCCAAGGGTCTGCCCTTTTTCTGCCTCCTAAGAGGGTGGGTGGAGAAGATAAACTCTTTAAATAGTATCAGGAATTTTAATAGTATCGGGAGTTGGACACACTCTTGTAGTTATTTTTCTGAAAAATATGTTGCCTTATATTTAGAGATAATGTCTGTCTAGAGTTAGGTTTGAGGGTCTCACCTTGTTATTACCTCTCTCCCAAACTTTTAAAGCACCAAGCCAAAGGATGGTGTTTATATCCACGACCATGAGAATGGAGCCGAGGATTCAAATGTTGCTTTGGAAAAGCTCCGAGATGTGATTGCTCAGTGTATTCTTCCCCAGGCTGGTAAAGGTCACGCCATTTACTAATGCTCTGTGTGTGTGTGTGTGTGTGTGTGTGTGTGTGTGTGTGTGTGTGTATCTGCACATGACAAAAGGAGTGGTTTAATTTGGGGTTGTCTGTTTCATCTTTGTGTTAAGAGAAAATAAGCACAGTATATAAATTAGTCTGTGCTCATTAAAAACATTAGATAATAGGAGCTCAGAAGTGTAGTAAGTTGTACCCCTCCTTTGGTTTTCTGTGAAATTTTTACTTTAGACTTAATTGCCTATATCAGGTTTAGCATAATTTAGTGTTTTCTTAGTTTGATGAGGGTACAGGATAGGGCAGGCGTCCTCAAACTACGGCCCGCAGGCCACATGCGGCTGTTTTTGCCCGTTTGTTTTTTTACTTCAAAATAAGATATGTGCAGTGTGCATAGGAATTTGTTCATAGTTTTTTTAAAACTATAGTCCAGCCCTCCAACAGTCTGAGGGACAGTGAACTGGCCCCCTGTTTAAAACGTTTTACGACATCTGGGATAGGAGATGGAAAATAGAAATTGTGAACAGGATCAGGATCAGGTTACAGGCTGTTAAATATATTTCCAGAGTCTTTAGAGGCCAAGGCTACCATTAGCTTGTGAATATAAAGAGAATACTCCCTAGTTCAGAAGTAGCCCCTGCTGCTACCTATCGCCTGGGCAGAATGACTTACACATGGGTCCTCTAGGGTAAGAGCTTTATTTCAGTATGTTCTCTCCACTCAACAGGATGTGATGGCCTAGTCTCAGCAAATGTGTAAGATATTTCACTTACTAGGCCAGAAAACTCTTGGGTTGCCCTGACTTCCTAGATTCTTTGGGTTTTAAGAGGATTCATGTAGTGTACCTCAGCTAGCCTTCTAAAGTAAGAAATGAGCTTAGGAGAAAGAGGGTAGCCTAATGCTCCCTCTTTTAGGCTTAGGTTTGCTGGGTATTTTTTTGCGATAGGGCCACTACCTGTTTCCTATCCCCTAATGCTAAGAATCTGATGTCATCAGAGGATTTATGTGAGGATGTCAAAGAAAAGTCCAAAGACCAGAAGCAGTCTATGTGTAACTTAGACTGCTAGGGACTAGCAGTTAAGCCAGTGTGTCTGGTGACGTTTTGTGCATTTTACCATCACTTCTTAACCCACTGGACATCATGTCCTTCCATCTCTGACACTAAAACCCCACGATGCTGCAGGAAAAATGCAACTTCCTCTTCACCCTTACCAATAGGAGAGAATGAAGATGAGAAGCTGAATGAAGTAATGCAGGAGGCTTGGAAGTATAACCGGGAATGCAAACTCCTAAGAGATACTCTGCAAAGCTTCAGCTGGAATGGTAGGAGCCTTAATCCCTCCTTTCCATGGGAATGCAGAGAAGTGATTATGTTTACAACATGTATGATCTTTTTGGGGCCCAAGCTGAGTCTCTTTTCAGGTGAAGTAAGGCTGTTGGAGAATGAGTGGAGTATTGTGAGTTAGGGTTTAGCTCTACATTAACTGCTCAGGCATATCTGAACATCTGGCCCTTTCACATTTTCCAGAGTTTAAGTGAATTGTGTGTTGCAGATTCAACACTGGAAAGCCACCTGGGCAAAACAAAACAAAACAACAACAACAAAAAACCATCTCAGAACTGTTTCCAGATGCTTCCCGTTAAGGAGCAGCCCATGCCGAAGGGGAGAGGACAAAGTACAAGGGATTCTACCCTGTTGATCTGCTCGGCTTGGGCAAGAGTTGTTTCATCAAAGAGTAGAAAGTTTGCCACGTTTGCTGCTGGTTGTTTTTTTCCCCCAAGCAAACAAGTTAGAGAGGTGCATTTCTTTTTTTCTCTTCTCTTCTCTTCTCTTCTCTTCTCTTCTCTTCTCTTCTCTTCTCTTCTCTTCTTTCTCTTCTCTTCTCTTCTCTTCTTCTCTTCTCTTCTCTCTCTTCTCTTCTCTTCTCTTCTTTTTCTTCTCTTCTTTTTCTTCTCTTCTTCTCCTTCTCTCCTCTCTCTCCTCTCCTCTCCTCTCCTCTCCCTCTCCTCTCCTCTCCTCTCCTCTCCTCTCCTCTCCTCTCCTCTCTCTCCTCTCCTCTCCTCTCCTCCCCTCTCCTCTCCTCCTCCCCTCCCTCCCCTCCCTCCCTCCCTACCTTCCCCTCTCCTCTTCCCTCCTTCCCTCTTTCCCTCCCTTTTTTTTTTAGACAGAGTTTCACTTTTTGCCCAGGCTAGAGTACCGCCACGTGGCGTCAGCCTAGCTCACAGCAACCTCAAACTCCTGGGCTCAAGCAATCCTGCCTCAGCCTCCCGAGTAGCTGGGACTACAGGCATGCGCCACCATGCTCAGCTAATTTTTTTATATATTTTTAGTTGGCCAATTAATTTCTTTCTATTTATAGTAGAGACGGGGTCTCACTCTTGCTCAGGCTGGTTTCAAACTTATGACCTTGAGTGATCCGCCTGCCTTGGCCTCCCAGAGTGCTAGGATTACAGGCGTGAGCCACCGCCCGGCCAAGAGATGCATTTCTTGAACAGATTTTTATATTGTCTTTCCAGATTAGCAGACTATACTAGACTTAAGCTCCAGAATGCTCAGGGAAGGGAGCAAACTCTGATTTCATTGCCTTGCTTGTATCTTGGACATACCGTAAGAAATCCCGAGTGCTAGCTGGGCTGTTGCTTGGAAGAGATTAACTTCCGTGGGTTTTTTTTTTAATGTTGAAATATGTCATCATTATAGAAAAGTGATCATATACGAAGTGTGGACTTCAATTAATTTTCACAAAATGAACATTCCCCTGTAATCCTGATTTCTAGCACTATGGCTTAATTTTTCTGGTTTTGTATTTTATGTAAATGGAATCAGATAAGTCTGTGTTCTTTTGTGTCTAGCTTCTTTTAATCAACATATGTGAGATCCATCCATGTTGTCATGTGTAGCAGCAGATCATTCTCAGTTTATGAATATACTATATTTATCCATTCTGTTTGATGGACATTTATATTGTTTTCAGGTTTTGGTAATTAAGAAAAGGGCTGCTGTGAACAGTCTTGTCTATGTCTTTTGATGAACTCATTTCTCTTATGTGTCTAGGATTGGAATTGCTGGTTTCATGGAGGTATGCACCTGTTTAATAGGTACTGCCACCAGTTTTCCAAAGTGGTTGTACGAACTTATGAACTCCCAGTAGCAGTATTTGAGGGTTTAGTAACTAACTCAACATCCACACCCACTCTTGCTGTTGTCTATCTTTTTTGTTTTAGGCATCCTGGTTAGTATGTAGGGGTATTGCAGTGTGATTTTGGTTTGCATTACCCTGGTGACTGAGGAGATTGTGCCCCCCCCCCTTTTAAACTGAGTTGTACTTTCTTATAGATGTGTAGGAGTTCTTTATTCTCGATATGAGTTCTTTGTCAGCTGTATGTATTACAAAGATCTCTCTCTTTGTGCTTTGCTTGTGTGTTGTGAGCTTTGATTTTTTACTGCCCGGTTAATGGAGCTGCTCAATTGCTATCTTAAAAATGGGAAATATGAACTGCTTTTGGTCAGTTTTGGGGATAGTTCCTCCATTGGTAAGGGTGAATTTGACGCTGGTAAGGTGTACCTTATTGGGTCTCTGAAGATCTACCACCTCTCCAAGAGTTTGAAGACTGACCTTGTTCTTTCTTGGGTTTCAGGTCGTGGATTCACAGATAAAGTAGATCGACTAAAACTGGCAGAAATTGTGAAGCAAGTGATAGAAGAGCAAACCATGTCCCATGAATCTCAATAGTGACAGCTTCAAACATTGTTTGTTTTTTTTTAACAATTTGAAAAATTATTCTTTAATGTATAAAGTACTTTTTATGTAAATTAATAAATCATAATTTCATCTCCACATTGATTAAAGTTGCTGTATAGATTTAAGGTACAGGATTTATAGTATAGTTATTTGTTTGTTTTTAAAAGCCTAGTTCCTAGAGATAAACTAAAATTTTAGGACTGTCTAGTCTTATATTTGTAAGATGACAGATGGTATTATCAAACAAGATTGTTTTATTTGTAATAAAATATATAAAGACCACTTAAAAGAGGTAAAGGACCAACTCTACTGACCTTTCTGCTTAGTAAACAGATGAATCTGGTTTCAGTTGCCCTGTATATTTATTTTCTGTACCATTGGTAGATTAGCTCTGGTTGTCAAGAAATTTTTGTGGATCAATCATTGCATACTGCATTGCTGAAACTCACAGGAAGCACACTTGGGCTTGGGGCGCCAACTCCCATGATAGAAGAGAGTGCTGAGTCCTCATTTCTCTTGCCTCTAATTCCCTAGAGTGGGAACATTTCCTTTTTGTCATATTTGTTAAACAGGTATTGGTGTGTTTCTTTTTTTTTTTGAGACAGAGTCTCACTTTGTTTCCCAGGCTAGAATGAGTGCCGTGGCGTCAGCCTAGCTCACAGCAACCTCAAACTCCTGGGCTCAAGCAATCCTACTGCCTCAGCCTCCCGAGTAGCTGGGACTACAGCGATGTGCCACCATGCCCAGCTAATTTTTTCTATATATATATATTAGTTGGCCAATTAATTTCTTTCTATTTTATAGTAGAGATGGGGTCTCACTCTTGCTCAGGCTGGTTTCGAACTCCTGACCTCGAGCAATCCGCCCGCCTCAGCCTCCCAGAGTGCTAGGATTATAGGCATGAGCCACCACGCCCGGCCCAATCCAAGGTTTTATTTGCCAACTCCATTCAACTTAAATTTGTGTGAGTACAATTTAGACTTATTCCCAGAACTGTAGTCTGACTGCACCCAGCCGTGGTGTGTTTCTTAAATCTAACGGAATTCTCTTTTGGTTTTATTATTTACGTATTTAACCTGAGGTTCCCTTTCCCCTTCCTTAAGGTCCCACTTTGTCCTCTCCCCTCCCTTGCAACCCTCATCCCATCTCCAATGCATCTTAATTCCTTTCCCTGTATCTCTGGCCCTCTTTTCGGGATGATTTTTCTGAGAAAGTTATTTATGTAATTTATGTAATTTAAACAGGACTATTGGACTACTAGCATGTAAGATGATCCTTTTTTTTTTTTTTACCTTAAAGCTGCCCTTTTTCTTTGTAATGTTTCCGCCTGGGTTTCATGTTGGCAAGCCCTGGGCTTCATTTATTTTGTTCGGTAACCTTCATTTTTAGGAAGCAGGTTCTAGCCCAGAGAGCAGCTGTGTGAATAAAAAATAAGGCTTGGTTACCTTTCTATTTTTCTGTTGTGCATATGGACTTCCATAACAAACTGGGTTTGTTTGTTTCCCCCAAGCAGTTTTTGGTGAGTACTTGTGTTGGTAAATAGAAGAGCTGACAGGCACACCCCAAGTCACACAGCCAAGTAAGAGGATTAGGAATCTCTGTCATTCAATTTTATCCTATCACATTCTCTGATCAAAATCTATCCCACAGAACTAACTAATATTTTCTTACTCTTCCACTATGCTGAGTATGTCTTCAGGGTGACATTTAGCTTGTATGCTCTATGTGTGTGACTGACTGGGAATATATGATAAAAACATAAAATGTCTTTTAAGAATTACTTTTACATTGCTTCCCTTTTATCTTGGAGAAGTTGTAATTCAGCATATTTTTTGAGGTAGGGTTCACTAACCTTAGGTGACTGATAACTGTTATAAATGGATACCCTGTAAGCAGAATTCAACTTTTCATGATGCCAAAATCTAAGAGAGGCAGCAGAGAAAAACAAAATGTTTTAAATTTACTGACCAGAAAACTTAGCTGAGAGTTGAATTAAGGGCCTATTCTGTTTTTCAGAGAAATACAATCTTGTAGATCACTGCTTGCATTTAGCAAAAACTCTGTACTTCTTTTTGTATTATCTGAACAACTGTAGTTTTCCTGTCTTAGGGCAGAGGTTCAGTCTTCCATGGAGAAAGTCAGTAATACCTTTCTTATACTTCTTTTTCATTAGAGGAACCTTCCAGCTTACCCAGTCTACCATTAACTTCTCAAATTTGTTATTTGGGTATCTTCTAAAGGCTCAGGATGACTTTTTCCCCCCTTTAGTGTGTGTTGAATTTTAGATATCTAAAATGGTATTTCCTTTTACTCTGAGCATCAGTTGCCTGTGTTCATCCAGTCCCTAAAATGAATGTTGTGTCCAGACATGTCCAAGTGAGCACCATGCTGGAAGTTTGTAAATACTCTGGAGGATGCCTCAGCTGTTGTAATTTAAAAGTGGGTCCTGCTCTGGACAGAGCTCCTTGCCAAGGGACCTAGCACTGCTTGGTTTTCAAAGTGGAGTTTTGTTTGTGTATTTCTAGGCCAGTAGTAAATTCTGCTTTAACATACCAGTCAGGTTTGCTAATAAAGCAAAATTTACCACATAACTGGAAGTGAAACCATATCTTCCTTGTGTTCTATGGCCTCTCTAACCTATGGAAACTTAACACTATAAGAACTGTTCTTGGCCGGGCGTGGTGGCGCAAGCCTGTAATCTTAGCACTCCGGGTGGCTGAGGGTGGATTGCTCGAGGTCAGGAGTTCAAAACCAGCCTGAGCGAGACCCTGTCTCTACGAAAATAGAAAAAAATTAATTGACCAACTAAAAATATATATACAAAAAAAAATTAGCCGGGCATGGTGGCGCATGCGTGTAGTCCCAGCTACTCGGGAGGCTAAGGCAGTAGGATCGCTTGAGCCCAGGAGATTGAGGTTGCTGTGAGCTAGGCTGACGCCACGGCACTCACTCTAGCCTGGGCAACAAAGTGAGACCTTGTCTCAAAAAAAAAGAACTGTTCTTGTAAAGCAGCAGGTTATAGTCTTCAGTTCTCCTACATGATTTACTAACTCTCTGCTTATTAAACCATTACTTGTCACTCAAATATCTTGAGGCTTTTCTACAGTTATGAGTCTGCTTGATATAGTACAACTTGTGTATCTTTCTGGCTGATATACTTACTGTATGAACATAGGATGATGCCTTTCAGAAATGTATCGTTTTAAACATAGCTAGGAAGAATTGCTTTCTAAAGAGTTCATGTTGCTTGTGTTCATTTGAATAAGTTGAACAGTAGGTAACTGTTGGTCAATTGAGAAAGAATAAGTTGAATAGTAGGTAACTGCTGGTCAAAGAAGTCAAAAGATTTAAATCACATCTTGTGTGCAAGTATGTGTGCGTGCATATATTTACAGAAGAAAATGTGTTTCAATTTGAAAATTGGAGATTTCATTTTAATTATATTTTTATTTATTCAAACACTAGGGTGTTCTTCCATTATTGATTCTTAATTTTTTTATTCCACCAAATGACTTAACCTAATTTGCCCTGCCTGTTTTGGTTAAAACACGGGGAAACCACATGAAATCTGTAATAGTTTCTAAAATACATACTTTTAAGGGGCTTTGCTCTTACATAAAATACAACAGAAATCCATCTAGAAATAATTTCACCTTCACTGCTATAAATTTCTTAATGGGTTTGATATATAACTGAATTTTCTTGCCAGATGTTAATGATATATTTTATCATCTGTATTAGGAATTAAATATTATTAATTGGGGATAGTTAATGAGTTGATCTGCTCATGCTAATATTTAAGATCTTATGGTGCCATACTATTCCTTTCTGAGTTAGTTAGGGCAGTTCTCCATTTTTGAGTATTACCTGTGTCATAAGTCTTATTTTAAAGGTTTTATGTTATAAATATTCTACTTAATATAAAGTTATTTTTATGCAAGATAAAACATGTAGAGTTTTATTTTTGTTCATCTTAGACTGCAGTAGAAAATAACTGACTGGAGAAGGAAGGGGTAGATAGGATTTCTTTTTCCTTTTAAATTTGTACTGTTTACAGATCTGTGTTTTAGGAAAAAAGGAATATAAAGAAATAAATTTTACAAAATGGCCGGGCGCGGTGGCTCACGCCTGTAATCCTAGGACTCTGGGAGGCCGAGGCGGGCAGATTGCTCAAGGTCAAGAGTTCGAAACCAGCCTGAGCAAGAGCGAGACCCCGTCTCTACTATAAATAGAAAGAAATTAATTGGCCAACTAATATATATAGAAAAAATTAGCCAGGCATGGTGGCGCATGCCTGTAGTTCCAGCTACTCGGGAGGCTGAGGCAGAAGGATTACTTGAGCCCAGGAGATTGAGGTTGCTGTGAGCTAGGCTGACACCATGGCACTCTAGCCCGGTTGACAGAGTGAGACTCTTGACTCAAAAAAAAAGAAAAGAAAAATCTAAGTAGCAGTCATGTTAGAAATAAGGATAAAGACATAAACTTTAAAAAAATAGTGCTCACAGTCCCTACACTTCTTCCAATACTACTATGCAGTCTACTTACAACTGCCAACCTCATGTGTGCAGTGCAGGCAGTACAGCATAAAGAAAATGAGTCATTAGAGGAATCCTTGGAATCACTACTGACCACAGAAGATGAGATACCATCAGCAGAGGAAGTGTCCCCAGCAGAAAAGGCCCCCTGACCAAAGGAGGTTCCCCTACCAGAGCCAGCCCCACCACCAGAGCCGGCCCACCACCAGAGCAGGCCCACCACGAGCAGGCCCAACCACCAGAGGTCCCAGAAGAGCCTGCACCCAAAGAGGAAGCAACTAAAGGACAGGAAAAAACCAAAGAGAAATCTAGTGGAGGATGAAGCCAAATAAAATATATTAAACCCCTCAAGCACTAAGTGGGAATAAGCAGCTCAGAAGCAAATGTGAAGTGAGAACTGATGTCTACAGTGGCTCTGACTGGGAAATCTAGTCTATAGAAACATACAAATGTAGGAAGAGGGATTCTTTCCACTTTCCAGTATTCATTTTAGTAAATTGGTTACAATTCCATATGTAAAATCATACATAAAATATCCTATACTTTTGCTTTTTCACATTTCATGAAACACTTTAAGCTCCTCTCATGGAACATTGCTATCAATGTCTTATTTCAATAAGGCCAGTTTTTGAGTCACCCAAAATTGTTCCGCAGGGCATACAATCTTCCATCTACTTTATTTGATATATATTATCTATTATCTGTGCCTATATTGCTATCACTGGGTTATTCATCCCAGTTATACTTACCTATTAGGTTAGGAACATTATTTATGTAATTGAGTATTCTAATTTGCCCTGTCAAT